AAAAAAAATTGATATAATTGATATTTTGTATGAAAGGGTGTTTTTGTACTTTTCTTTTTATATTTGGTATATAAAGTAAGAAAAAACTGATAAATATATACTCAATTTTGGTTTTAAACTTGATAGTATTCAAGTAAGCAAAAGTTGAGATTTAAAATAGTTGCCCCCTATTTTTAGTCATCCCTTATAAGAGCAAACAAACACAGCCTTCCTTCTCTTCCAATTCCCACAACCGACTATTTGATTAATTTCCCAATTCCCAATTCCCCAATTCCCAACCTAATTGGCAATCTCTCCTCTCCGTTTCTTCCCTTGTTCTTCCTTCCAGAAAAGAAATCCCTAATTCAGTTCAATTAGGTTTTTAATTTGATTTCTGTTGAATTAGGTTTCTATGGCCTCGGTGCCCTCAAGCACAGCGGGTTCTGCCACTTCGTCATCTGGTCAGTTCACATACGCTGCGGCCACCACCTCCTCCTATTTTCCGACGCCGTTTCACCTTCAACAAAATCTTCCGCCACCTCCCGTTCCTTACATTGGCGCAGCCCCTCCGCCCGCTATACCGTCGGTCTCATACTCCGTGTACCCCCCTCCTCCTACCGCTTACACCTTGCCGCAATATCAACAGGCAAGCATGCCAAAACTGCTTCTTTTTTTTTTTTTTTTGTTTTCTTAAGTTCCTTTGATTATATTTTTAGATTGTTGAATTTCTCCTATTGTGTCTGTGTCCATCAGAGGTGGGGTCATGGAATTGGAAATTATTAAGGGTTTTTATTTTGTAAAGATCTTCAAAGTTGAATCGGACATCGTGTGATCGAAATCAGAGGCGTTCTCGTCGTTTTTCCTCTTTTCGTGTGTGTGTGTGTGTGTGTGTGTGTGTGTGTGTGTGTGTGTGTGTGTGTGTGTGTGTGTGTGTGTGTGTGTGTGTTTGAGGGGTGGGGGTTTAATTTGTAATGATCTTGACAGAAAATCAGGCATTAGGGGATTGAAGTAACTATTACTTCATCAGTATTGTTAAGCTTGCACTTTGATTACGAAGAAAAATATCGATGTTGAAAAAGCTATAACTTTTTACCAGAATGTGCTATTGAATTGGCAACCTGCAAACATGGTTCAAATAAATAGAGAAAATACATGTTTTATTATCAATGTGGCGTTTTGGGTCTCCTCATTGTATTATGGAATTAGTGAAGAAATCTCGAGGGGTGTTTATTGGAAATAATGATTCATGAACATTTGTACCTACTTATTATTGTTTCTGTTCTAATAGCAGGTTTTGATGTGGGCAGGCCCAACAGTTGTTTCAGAGGGACGCGCAAACAATAACTCCAGAAGCTCTTGAAAGTGTGAAAGCTGCTCTTGCAAGCAGCGATATCGAGCACAAAACGGAGACTAAGAAGAAGGCAATTCCTCGAAAAGCTGCAGGCCAGACTTGGGTGGATCCCAGCCTTGCAGAATGGCCTGAGAGTATGAATCTGCTGATCTTTGTTTAAATAATATGCTCAGTATTAATTTGGCAAGGAATCTTAATCTTTCCAGTTATTGTTTAATTCATCTTTTTACTTTTCTTGTAATTTGTCTTATTTTTGTGTTGAATTATAAACTGATCGCATTCCGTTCCCCGGTCTATTTATCAGTTTTGAACTTTAGGTTCCCAAATCAAAAGCCAGTCTATGCCAATCCTATTTTGCTTAACTCTCAGATGAACTTGATTTCAGCTCCTTTTTCTATCTGTTTTTCCCAGTTTAGATCATTTAAACTTGCAGGATGCAATTCTTATTCTCCTTATGTTGGCATTTTGCAGATGATTATCGTGTATTTTGTGGCGATCTTGGAAATGAAGTGAATGATGACGTTTTATCAAAAGCTTTTTCGAGATTTCCTTCCTTTAATATGGCCAGGGTATGTCTTTTCTAACTCACTGGGACCTCTTTGTTGCATTGTCTTTATTGCTATTGTTACTCGCTCATAACTTGTTAACATATTTTTGGTGGTATACATGAGCATTTGCATGTCCTCGTAACCTATTTTGCGTGATATACATGAGCTTTTGCATGTCCTCGTAATATATATTGCTTGATATACATGAATGAACATTTATACGTCCTCCAGACATTTTCTAGGGGATAATCGTCAATCGACATGTCCTCTTCAGATTTTAATTCTTGAAGTGCATGGAGCCTTCAATTAACTCCTCTTGAATTTTTTTCTTAACCTTCATAATGTTTTTTAACATTTGTTTAGTGACTACTATTAAAGATAATTGAACGCAATTAGTATCTGTTGCTTTGCAGTAATGAATGTGCAGACCTGATAACTGTTCCAGGGTTTATAGAGAAATATAAAAGATTGCTTAATGTAGGATGAAAAAGCGTCTTTATATATTTGGTACTTGAGGAAACTTATGAACCTCTTCCTTATTGATTCTCAAGCTATCGAGTTTACCATCTAGGCCTAAAGAAAAACATTAGTTTTCTCTTTATAAATATTATTTTGCATTGTGCTGAGGATGTTGAACATCATTTGAAGAAAAAATAGTTGTGGTTGACCACTTGACTTGCCCATGATGACTACCATTCAATCACGTAACAATAATAATCATACTGCTTTCCAAAATGTAAGAGAAAACTTTCCTCAAAAAAAAAAAAAAAAAAAAAAGAAAAAGAAATGTAAGAGAAAACTATCAGGCTTAACTGTGCATACCACTATTTTAGGCATTCTTAAATCAAACATATTTATGAATCAGTCCTTCTCTTTAGTGTTATATAATCGGTATATACTAGTACTAAATAATTGTTGATGAAATGAAATATACTATTGTGTTAGAAGTTGTCAACAACTTTTTTGACATTCTGTATGCAGTATGAGGTCTGAATCACTTTGTTTCGCTTTCAAACTTTTTCTGAAAAGTTTGAAGGGAAAAACTAAAATTGAATTTCATTTTGGCTGGAGACTATACAATTACCTTCAACAGGAAAGTTGTAAGTGTTTATTTAGTGTTTTATTCAATAATTACTTCGGGCCTCTGAAATTTCTTACATATCCGTATGTGTTTGTGCTCTGTCTCTTCCTAATCTATCTAAATCACCTTGTTATACATGGAATGACAACAACTATACTTAACTAATGGTGGATTAATGTTGGATTAGGTTGTTAGGGATAAGCGTACTGGCAAAACCAAGGGGTATGGGTTTGTTAGTTTCTCCAACCCGACAGACCTTGCGGGTGCGCTTAAAGAAATGAACGGTGAGTTTGTTTCTGTTATCATTTCGCTTTTAATATCTGCTAATGCAGAGTTATTTATTCGATAATTTGCGTAATTTATTTTAGTTTTTTTAGCTTGGAAGTAAATATTTGTTTCAGGGAAATATGTTGGAAACCGTCCAATTAAACTTCGCAAGAGCACATGGAAAGAAAGAACTGATAGTGGAGCTGCGGAACGACAAAAGGTGAGTGTGCATGCATGATTTTCATAGGCTGTTAGCTGGTATAATGGTTCGATTTTTCTTGTTTTTTTTTTTTTTTTTTTAATTGGTAATTGTTTTTGGGGGGTTTCTTTCCTTTTGCTGCAGAACCATTCTCAGAAGAAGAACAAGCAACCGAAGAAAAGCGTGTTGCACAAATGAGAGCAGACATCGAGAACTAAGACGACTCTTGTTGCGTATGAAGGAAGACGTGAAATTTAGTATGGCATATATAAAAACTGGAAACTGTATCAAAATTTATTCCTTGCATGACTTTGTTTATGCACCATTGACAACTTTCTTTTTCCCCCTATTGGAATTTGTGTATCTTGATGTGTTTAGATGCTAACATGTTCCAGTTCGTTTCAATGGATTTTTATCGCAAAATTGGATTATTTTGCTGATCGAAATTTTGGTATACTTGGTCTGGAATTTGATTATTTTCATTATTGAATGAATATTAAATTGTTGAAAAACGATAACTGAAGGCAAATAAACGTATTTTTCGACTTCAAATGTGAATGTGACCATTTTTTAATTTGGCAAAATTGAAAACACGGAATTTGTAGTCTTTTGAGTTACCTTTCTAATACAACTTGAATCATCAAGATTGGATGTCGAGTGATAAAGTTATTCATGAATCAATGAACAATTCCGCAACTTTGATGTTTTGAGTTATCTAAAATTCAAAATTAAACTTATTCATATGCATAACTTTGTCACCCGATATTCAATTTACTTGATTCAAGTGGGATTAAAAAGCTAAACCAAACGACTAAAGTTTTCGTGTTTTGAATTTGGCCAAAATCAGACTACATTCGAAGTCAAAACGGTATTAGTAAAATTGAAATAACATTTAACATTTCAGTAATCGATACATCAATACACGGAGAAAGAAAACACATGAAAACAGAACAAATATTCTAGGAAAGTGAAACATGTTGGATAACAATCGTTAGCCCCGCCTGTGTTTAATTCCCGGAAACCTGTTTCTTCTCAGGCCTGGAAATTTGAGGATCCCTCTTAATTCCCTGGATTTTCGAGCCCTTCTCCTTCACGATCATACGAAACCCCCCCCCTGGAAATTAATCCGGGTGTATTATTTCTAGAAAGACGTGGTGGACTATTAACTTCTTCAAGCCACTGCATCAATTGTTTCCTTCTGCCAATTGGATTTTTCATCGTTTTCTTTGATCCCGCATCATAATTAGTAGACTTGTTAGATTTTGTGTCGAGTTCTTTGATCCTAATTAATAACCATGATTTCGTTTTCTTAACCAATTCGTTGGAATAGAAAACCGCGTACATAACCAAAAGATCTAATTCCTTCCATGAATTCTTCTTTGAGTCGTTGAATCAGAGCCATGCAACTATTCATCTTATTCAGAAGTTTAGTATCAAATCATTAAAGTTTACGTATATACTTTTGGTCATATAATAGTTGGTATTTTATTTGGAACAAGAATCCTACTCCTACTAGAATTTTTTTGAAAGCAGCGATTATAGGACGTAATTACTATTTTGTTAATTTTTCTTTTTTTTTTATATATAAAGTATATAATAAATCTAAAAGATAATAAGAGCAACTCCAATGCTAAACATCAAAATTGGATTATCAAATACTCATTTGATAATTAAGATAATATTTTAATATCCATTTACAATTTATTTACTCCAACCATAGTTATCTAAATCAATAATCAATTGGAAGTTTTTTAGTGTTTTTATTTGTAATTGCCACGTGTCATTTTTTGATTGGATGTTTAGGTAGTTATTTTTTTGATAACTCAATTTCCGGCATGTATTTTTACATTCAAAGAGGTAGAATATCAAAATACTTACCCATTTTTATACTCCCATTGGAGTGGATAATTTTAATTTAGGAATATCAAAAAGGTGGTTTATGGATTTGATAATCCATTTGATACTCCCGTTGGAGTTGCTCTAAGTATATAACTTAACCAATAATAATATGAAATTGTTTCAAAAATTTTTTGAAGAGAACAATGACTTCTCGTGATTTTTTATCGTTTTTGCCGAGTTTGGGTTGGCTCACGCTGACATACCACCGAGCCTCATTACTATAGGCTCAAGCTTCCATCGGGCATGACATATTTTGATTATAGGCGAGAGAGGCGGTTGCCTAGGGGCCCGCGATTTTTAGAAAATTTTAGGGGCCTTCAAATATTTTATCCTCTAATTTCAAGAAATTTTAATAATTTGAAAATACTATATTTTGTTTTATTTTCATGAGTATTTTCATGAAAATACCGAGGGGCTCTAGCTCTGCCTCTGAACCCGCGTAAACTTTTGAGTCACCTTGCTTAATATTCTATTCATATATCTCCAAAATTATGAACATATAATAAAAGAATGTTACTTATGTGGTGCTAGTAAGAGTGATTAATTCGTAAACTATATAACAGGCCCCCATTTATACTAATTTTTAAAAACCGTCTAGGGCCCACAATATCTTAGGAACGGGTTTGCCATCGGGCTTCGTTATTATAAGCTCAAGTTCGACTCATGTGTTTTTTCGGGACTCGTGTTTATATTGAGCTTATATCAAAAAATATATAAATTACATATTTTACAACTTTGCAGTCAGACGTATTTAAGAAAAACAAAAAAAATAAAAAATCTTCGCAGGTGAAGAACAAAAACTAGAATATTCATAAAGAACAAAATAAGATGAAAACTTGAAAATCCTAATTTGTTCCTTCAAACAAATGAAGTTAATTTCGCCGATGTTTAATACATAAGTAATTCCAAAATGAAGAAACATAAAACAAATAGAACTAATTCTAGATGTACATTTAACTCCTTTTGACTATTGCCACCAACACCGCCACCACTTAATTTCTTTTTATTTTTCACTTTATTTTTGTAAAATAAAATAACTAATCCGGGAGTAACTTGTAACTTGTATGTTGAGTCATATTATTAAAATAATAAATATATTATTTATTTAATTATTAATTTAATCGGGCATACCTTATTCTGGTTGAGCCATGGTAGACTCAAACTCGGCTCATAAATGAATCGATCTAATAAAATGGCTCAAACTAGGTCCGACTCACTAAAAATTAGGTTCGACTTAAATTAATATAATCAGGTCGAAGTATCGGGCTTTGATTAAAAAAGCCGGAATTTTTTTTCAATTCTTCCTTTTTGATTCTTTCAATTATATATATATATATATATTTTTTTTAATCTAAATTAGATATATAGTGTCAATCCAAGACAATTTTAAATATTATTGTATTGTGAAATTGCAATTCAAAGAATTGAAAAAAAAATTCAATGCAATTTATTTTTTCCACTGTATTCTTTTCTCAACATTAATTTATATATATATATATATCCGACAATTTCTTGTATTTTCATCTAATTAATTTCTTTTTATGTTTCGAATCCATTATAAAATTTGTTTTTTTTATATATTTGTTAGCTCAACGGTTTGATTACTTATATAATATCCTTTCCTTTTGTTTAAATTTAGTTGAATTTGATTCTGATTGTATCTATACACTCTTTGTTGAAGATTTTTGTTGAAGGTTGAAGTTTTATTTAATCTATATTTTCTTCGGGTTGCTAACTCAACGGTAGAGTACTCGGCTTTTAAGTGCGGCTAGAATATTTTACACATTTGGATGAAGTGAGGAATTCATCCATATCATTGGTAAAGTTTGGAAGACCGCGACTAATCCTGCAAAGGAATAATGAAAAAAAGAGCATGTCGTATCAATGGAGAGTGTAGCAACAAAATCTTATCTGCGATTTAGACAAATAAGAAAAACTTGCACAAAAATAATTTTATTGAATTAAAAATAAATATTGCGGGTTACAAACTCTAATTTAATTCTCTGATTCTTCTCTCAAGAACAATATATGTTGACTTTGAATTTCGGAGTCGGGTCGTTGACTTGATCTTCTCCGGATTTGATTTTGAACTTGAATAACGTTTTCCGAGGGTCTTGCGACTTGAATCTCGGATCGAACGCAGAACTTTGACGTGTTTTGACTTGAAGATCTTGGAGTTCTTGATGGATTTTGCCCTTCAATCTTCCTTCAATCTTGATTTGTTGAAGAACGCCCTCAATTTGATGAAGATCTTGATGGATTTGGCCCTTCAATCTTCCTTCGATCTTGATTTGTTGAAGAACGCCCTCGATTTGATGAAGAACGCCTTGAATTTGATGAAGATGACTTGAATGTTGTAGAGAGAATTTTCTCCTACGATTTTTATTCTTCTTGAGTTGTGTCTTGAATTGTGTAGAGAGGGTCCCTATTTATAGGGTTGTTCATGGGTCGGTTTTACCCGACAACCGACCCATTATCGGCCCGACTATTGCGGCCGATAATTACCCATCAACCGACCCGTTCTGGTCGGGCCGATAATATCAACCGACCCATGCATAGTCGGGTCGGTTATGGTTTCTGAAATATTGAAAAGTCGGTTGGCCGATATTACCCGACCAACCGACTTTTTTTTTTTTTTTTTTTTTTTTTTTAGCCTTTTGACTCTACATTTAATTTTTGGGCAATAATGTTTGAGTTTTTGGGAGATGCTAATATTTAGAATGTGTTTTTGTATTTGAAGTAGTTGAATAATTGAATCAGACCTTTTTTTTTTTCAAATATTAGAATCTCAATGATTGTTCAGGAAGAATTCTCGTTTTTTTTTTTTTTTTTTTTTGTATATTTTTTTGTATATCTCACATTAAACAAAGATCAAAGAAGCCAAACAAGAAGAAACAAGCCAGAATATATCTATAACATAAATATGTGGGATTCTTTATATTTGTTAGAATACTATTTATGAGTGAAAAAAAATGAAGTTTTTCTCGAGAATTATTTAATGAGAATAGTATTTTTTTCCTCATAAATTGAAAATCTGATTTTTTTTTTAATGTGGCCGATATCGGCCGATAATTTGCAACCGAACTGTTTCGGCAACAGACAAAGTCGGTTGCCAACCGTTACCCGACCCACAATAGTCGGGTCGGTAATAGTTTTGCATATTTGCAATAGTCGGTTGGTCGGGTCGGGCCGATAATCGGCCGATATTCAACCGACCCGACCCATGAACAACCCTACCTATTTATAGTGGTAGAATAAGAGTCCTACTTAAAGTCTACTTGCTGACGTGGCGCGATTTGATTGGCTCTCTTTAAATTGATATTTATCTCTTATAACTTGGAAGAGAAGAAATAATCCTATTGGCCAATAATTAATTGATAATTATCTCCATAACTTATTTTGTAGGATAAATTATAATTTAATTTAGACACAATTTAATTGGCTAATTTAATTAACCAATTAATTAATTTTATGCGTCTACAAATGCCCCCTCGAGACTTGTTCACGGACAATGCATCTTGGAGTGGATGAGTCTCGATAATTGCTCAACTTCGA